CCATTTGTTATTTTATAATGTATAGGCCTAGCCCTTATTGTTTATGCTAATAAAGTGTTTAAAGAAGGTTTATTGCAGGGACGACCGAGATATTCGTTTAGTAATAAACGTATTAATGTCACTAATTTTAACCTTTGTTATTTTTTCTAAAATGATGTGTTGTGCTCTTATTTATCTACCATTTATATCCATTACTAACATTGAAACGCAAAAAGCGGTACTACTGCCATTTATTTATTTATTTTCATAGAAAACATCTCAAAATACCATCTTTAAAAACATTATTCATAAGAAGTTAACTAGATTTGTCTCTGGGCTAAAACATAACATAACTACAGGATCAATACAAATAAAAAAAAATTAAAATTAAAATAATAAGAGTCAAAAACACATAAGTAATAAATACAGTTATAGTAGAATAATAGGCCTATACATACAATAGGCATACACGCAGGATGAATTGTAACGTACCGTACTGTACGTAGTGAATGTTGTAGAGGTCAAGGGTGAACGCGTTTCTGGAGCCGTGAATACGTTACAGAACCTCAATGTCACCGCATTACCTTCCGAAGCACGGCGGAAAAACCTGTAAAAAAAAAAAATCATTTTTACCATATTTTGGATAATTACCGTACTAAAAGTTGGTTTCTATTGATTATTAAGTAGTTTTCTACTCTCGAGTGGTAATATTTTTATCATTTTTGCACCCGTGTGGTCGCGAGTGGTCCTGGGTGGACGCGAGTGGTTCCGTGTGGTATTTAGTAGGACCGGTGACGTTTGCTACTCAACTAGGCCAGGGGTTCTCAACTGGCAGCCCACGGGCCAACCGATTCAGGCCCACGACGAGTGCCTGTTATGTGGCCTGCGAGAACAAGCCGAAAATAGTATTTACCGTTAGGCTTCTTAGTAATTTTGCATTCTGTTTTTGCAGACTAGGCCTATATATTGCCCCACATATTCTAGCATTTAATCAATCAAATCGGAAGAACTGTCGCAAACAGCAAAGATATTTGTGTGATATAACATTTTGACTTTTGCATTACAAAACACAAGGGTAACTTTCGTGGCAAAGGATATTTGGCATCCAATGGGTGAACAATAGAAAAACAATTATTCACCCGGGTGGATAAGATAAAATCGTTTCCACACGGCAGACTGGTGAAAAAGTAGAGAACGGCTGTCCACCCGTCCGCCTGTCCACCCGTCTGCCTGTAGATACGCCACTCAAACACCCTCAAATGGGATGTATGCCAAAATCTGTATCAGGGACGAACAGCCTGAAAATGACCACCTTTTCTTAAATCGCCAAGCCCCCTTTAAGTGTTACTTTAAACAAACAGTAGGCTAGCAATCTAACCATGGAGGAAAGAAACAGATAACTATAGCCCCTCTCCCACTAGGGGTTTTTTCCGCATACGAGTTACAAGAGAATACAGAGTTGCAAACTCGGCAAAAACTCGTAGGACGATTTGGAAAGCTCGGAGAGGACTCTTACCTACTCGTAGCAGCTCTGAACTCGTGGCGCTAATTTTGAACATGTTCAAAATGTTCAAAATTATCATGAACATGTTCAAAATTATCGCCACGAGTAGATAACTCGTAGTAAACTTGAAGAACTCGTAGGTAGCTCGTAGAGTACTCGGGGTACTCCTACCTAGCTCGTACACTACTCTGGATACTCGTCGGCGGTTTTGTCATCTACGAGGACTTGTGATTAAGACCTAATATTCTGAAATTTGATCTCACATTTGTGTTCTTTTATTAAAAAAAAACACCTTTTTTTGCAATGTTCATAATATTGTCTACCCTACTGTTTAAAGTAGCATTTCCAATGAAAAAGGGGGCGTGATCATTTAAAAAAGGGTGTGTGGTCATTTACGGGCTGTTCGTCCCGGATACAGATTTTTGCACGCATCTCATGTTGTTCCTTGGGTTCAAATTAGTGTATATCAGTTGATATATATTCTCTCATAAATTAAGTACATGTATATAAATCTTAGTCAGTTCCTAGACTACTATGGATGTGAAAGCTAGACACTATCTGCAAGCCTTGAAAAGAAAATAGAAGCTTTCAAAATGAAATGATACCGACGGCTCTTGAGAGTGCCGTATACAGCTCAGACGACACTTTTTTTATACCTTGTTTGGCGTACTTTTTTTTAAAGATTATCAGAGAAGAATGGAATAAAATTAAAAATAAAATTTTGCTTTCTTATTTAGCAAATAGTTTTGCCAAAAATGTCTAGACGGAGGAAAATATAAAGATAAATTTTTAATGGTGAATGTAATGATAATAATGTTATGATGGTTAAATGCTTCAAATTTATATAATTAGGAAGAAAAATATATATCTTATCTTTGGAGATTTCAAGGCAGCAGAGGGCGGTATAAAATAAAGAAAAATGTTTATTTTTTTCTGAAATTTCCACTTTTTTGTGGCGGTGAGAGTGCTAATTGGCCAAAGATAAAATTTAATTTTTATCCGAAATCATCAGTATTTGCAGTTGGCGGATTCGCTAAACAAGGTATAAAAAAATCTTGCCTCACAGAACCAATAAGTTGCACTTATTAAGCTGATGGTCGAAAGTAATCAGATGTAACAGACATTGCAAAGTACCCAAAATTAATAAAATAGTAACTAACACCATTAAACGTAGCCTAATAATTGGCAGCTGTACTCGCAACTCGTATCAGATTTTTGATGCCACAGTAAAGATCAAAGGACTGTGCGCACACGCTATGTTAGAGAGCGGAGATGTGCGTCCTTTTGTTGAAAATTTTTGCCTTGCTTCGAGAAATGCTGGGGCCTAAGTACTGACTATGCTGTCACCTGTGTATGATGAAATTTATTTTCTTTCGGTGAAATGTAAGGTGGGGAGGAGGGCATGCCCCACTTGTACCTTCTCTAAATCCATTTCTTTTTAGATATCAAGCGCTTTTGTTCCAGGCCCTTGGGTTCACATGCTTAAGTGCTTGGAGCAGGCATTCCCACTAGGTACCCATTTATACTCTTGGGTGGAGAGAAGAAATGCAGATAAAGTACCTTTGCTCAAGGACACAAAATGCAGTGTAAGGGATTGAAAACCTGACCATGAGGCTGGGAAATAAAGCTGTTCCCACTGCTGTGCCAGCCCAAACTGCTTCTTACTGTATGACAAATAAAGTGAACTTGAACTTGGTAACCCCAGGTGCTGCAGTTTGATTGCATATGTACCTGATAACAATGATAAGCAAATATAATTATTTAAGGTACAGGTACCACATTTTGATTGTATAGCACTGATAAACAATGATAAGCAGCTGAGCCTGCTTTCTGTTCAGGAGCTTAGAGCCACCTGCTTCTTGAATTTTCCAGGTTCTGTGGGAAATTTCAACTCGCCCCTAGATGAGAAACAAAAAGGGGAACTGGCTGTGGAGACAAAACAACCTTATTTCCCCCCTGCCCCAGTCCAGTTTCAAGATTACCTAAGACCTAGGAGGGCAGCTGATAATTAGTATTGCTATTTAATTAGATCAGGACGAATGCATACATGCACAACTTGAAACTAGGCATAGACATAAAGGTATACCAGGGAACAGTGAAATTATTAGAATTATTAGATGATAAATTCGTTTTTGTAAAAGCAAGTAAGAAACAGAGTAGTTTACAAAAGAGTTGTCATGTATACAATAACGAAACTAAATGAAATTTTTGAAAGATCCAAAGATTACATTGATTAAGCCGGTTCAAATCTTAATATACAATTTGTAACAATAAATGATATTTAATACCATTATTGTTAGAATTAATTCATAATCTTTGTGAATTCATCTTGATGACTTATTAACATCATTATTGCATAGTTTGAATACATTTTTCAACTCAAATTATTTATTTTTGTGGCACAGATATTTACATCTGGAATTACAAACAAATTAATAGGATGTTACCTACCAGAAGACAAGAAAACGATGGTTCTGGTTCGTATTTACGGCCACAAGTCAGAAGTCGTGATTGACAGAGAGAGAGAAATCAAGACTTTCCAGATACTGTTTGCTGCCAACTGTGGCCCTGAACTTTACGCCATTTTGAAAAATGGTCTTTGTTACGGTTATATCCCTGGTGTCACGCTATCTGTAAAAACTGTTCGGGATGAACATATTTCAAAGTGAGTTCTACACTACAATACTGTACACTCATGTTTATTCCATACATAAATGTTTTCTTTGTTAATAATAATAATTACACTGTAAGCCTACTAACTTTCAAGTAATTTTCATTCAAAATTCTTGAGTCGCAGACTTCAACAGTGACAGCACCAGCTGGGGGGGGGGGGGGGGGGAAGGC